TCAAGCATAAATTGGCTCTTAGTCCACTATTGGTTGAGTCACGTGAGTGAGGAGAAGTCGTGATAACCTTTTTTACCAGTTGTAGGTAGGCTATTTAACTTGTCATTATGCGCGAGTGGAATTTTTTAAATATAAGTTATGGAACTCCCTCACGTGTTTCTGTTTTTGGGGTAAAGTCCTCATTGAAATTGCCGATCAATTGTTAGAACGCATTAGATTGACGTCAACAATCAGTCAAAATAGGCTACAGGTAAAATAATAATAATTAGAATACTGGCAGTTGTTGACAAGCATATTCAGTTCATATACATATTATTAATATTTAATTCAGTGATTGAAATTACGATCCCATCCTCAGTAGCCTATTCCAGCAGGCTATTAGGAAACACAAGCACTTAACTCGAAATCGCCAAACTATTCATGTTGAATAATTTATTTTGTTTGTATTATATTTTTTTGTATTTTTGTATTAGTCATTTAGCAGACGCTCTTATCCAGAGCAACTTACAGTTAGTGCGTGCACACATTTATGGCCCCCCGTGGGAATCGAACCCACAACCCTGGCGTTGCAAGCGCCATGCTCTACCAACTGAGCTACACGGGGCCCATAGTCTGTTAATTTGAGCTAAGCAAGCTGCTAAATCGTACAGTTTACAGTTTGCCTAGGCTACTGTAGACGGTCTGAAATAAGATGTAGGCCTATTACATTTTAGTAATTTAGCAGACGCTCTTATCCAGAGTGACTTACAGGAGCAATTAGGGTTAAGTGTCTTGCTCAAGGGCACATCGACAGATTTTTCACCTAGTCGGCTCGGGGATTAGAACCAGCAACCTTTCAGTTACTGGCACTACGCTCTTAACCACTAAGCTACCTGCTATAGGGGCAATAGGCTATCTAAGCAAACCATGGCAAAATTTAATTACAATCATAAACCCAGATTTTAGTCTGTACATTTACATTTACGTCATTTAGCAGACGCTCTTATCCAGAGCGACTTACAAATTGGTGCATTCACCTTATAGCCAGTGGGATAACCACTTTACAATGTTTTTTGTGGGGGGGGGGGGGGTAGAAGGATTACTTTATCCTATCCCAGATATTCCTTAAAGAGGTGGGGTTTCAAATGTCTCCAGAAGGTGGTGAGTGACTCCGCTGTCCTGGCGTCGTGAGGGAGCTTGTTCCACCATAGGGTGCAAGAGCAGCGAACAGTTTTGACTGGGCTGAGCGGGAACTGTGCTTCCGCAGAGGTAGGGGAGCCAGCAGGCCAGAGGTGGATGAACGCAATGCCCTCGTTTGGGTGTAGGGACTGATCAGAGCCTGAAGGTACGGAGGTGCCGTTCCCCTCACAGCTCCTTGTAGCAGATGCAAGCTTCAACTGGAAGCCAGTGGAGTGTGCGGAGGAGCGGGGTGACGTGAGAGAACTTGGGAAGGTTGAACACCAGACCGGCTGCGGCATTCTGGATGAGTTGTAGGGGTTTAATGGCACAGGCAGGGAGCCCAGCCAACAGCGAGTTGCAGTAATCCAGACGGGAGATGACAAGTGCATGGATTAGGACCTGTGCCGCTTCCTGTGTAAGGCAGGGTCGTACTCTCCGAATGTTGTAGAGCATGAACCTACAGGATCGGGTCACCGCCTTGATGTTAGCGGAGAACGACAGGGTGTTGTCCAGGGTCACGCCAAGGCTCTTCGCACTCTGGGAGGAGGACACAACGGAGTTGTCAACCGTGATGGCGAGATCATGGAACGGGCAGTCCTTCCCCGGGAGGAAGAGCAGCTCCGTCTTGCCAAGGTTCAGCTTGAGGTGGTGATCCGTTATCCATACTGATATGTCTGCCAGACATGCAGAGATGCAATTCGCCACCTGGTTATCAGAAGGGGGAAAGGAGAAGATTAGTTGTGTGTCATCTGCGTAGCAATGATAGGAGAGGATATGACAGAGCCAAGTGACTTGGTGTATAGCGAGAATAGGAGAGGGCCTAGAACTGAGCCCTGGGGGACACCAGTGGTGAGAGCACGTGATGTGGAGACAGCTTCTCGCCACGCCACTTGGTAGGAGCGACCGGTCAGGTAGGACGCAATCCAAGAGTGAGCCGCGCCGGAGATGCCCAGCTCGGAGAGGGTGGAGAGGAGGATCTGATGGTTCACAGTATCAAAGGCAGCAGACAGGTCTAGAAGGACAAGAGCAGAGGAGAGAGAGTTAGCTTTAGCAGTGCGGAGAGCCTCCGTGACACAGAGAAGAGCAGTCTCAGTTGAATGACCAGTCTTGAAACCTGACTGGTTTGGATTCAGCAGGGAGGAGAAGGTGGCAAAGAGCTTCATAGGGTTAGAGGCAGATGCTTGGAATTTAGAGTGGTAGAAAGTGGCCTTAGCAGCAGAAACAGATGAAGAAAATGTAGATAGGAGGGAGTGAAAAGATGCCAGGTCCGCAGGGAGTCTAGTTTTCCTCCATTTCCGCTCGTCTGCCCGGAGCCCTGTTCTGTGAGCTCGCAATGAGTCATCAAGCCAAGGAGCTGGAGGACCGAGCCGGCCGGGAGGATAGGGGACATAGAGAGTCAAAGGATGCAGAAAGGGAGGAGAGGAGGTTTGAGGTGGCAGAATCAGGAGATTGGAGGGAGAAGGATTGAGCAGAGGGAAGAGATGATAGGATGGAAGAGGAGAGAGTAGCGGGAGAGAGAGAGCGAAGGTTGCGACGGCGCATTACCATCTGAGTAGGGGCAGAGTGAGTAGTGTTGGAGGAGAGCGAGAGAGAAAAGGATACAAAGTAGTGGTCGGAGTTGCAGTGAGGGGAGTTGCAGTGAGATTAGTAGAAGAACAGCATCTAGTAAAGATGAGGTCGAGCGTATTGCCTGCCTTGTGAGTAGGGGGGGACGGTGAGAGGGTGAGGTCAAAAGAGGAGAGGAGTGGAAAGAAGGAGGCAGAGAGAAATGAGTCAAAGGTAGACGTAGGGAGGTTGAAGTCCCCCGGAACTGTGAGGGGTGAGCCATCCTCAGGAAAGGAACTCATCAAGGCGTCAAGCTCATTGATGAACTCTCCAAGGGAACCTGTAGCCTATGGTAATCTCGCAAATGGGCCATTTATAACTGTTTGTAGTCTTAACATCTGGCACATAATAAAGGCACAATTGCCAGAAAATAGACCAAGTCGTTAAAAAAAAAAAAGTTCGCAATTGTTTTGATGAAAATCGTATTTTGCTTCTAACATAGTTACAAATTACGTCTTTCTTATTTGGCTCGATAACGTTCTGGAAAAAATTGTTTATTGTATAAATGTGGCACCTTTATTTAACTAGGCAAGTCAGTTAAGAGCAAATTCTTATTTACAATGATGGCTTACCAAAAGGCCTCCTGCAGGGACGGGGGCTGGAATAAAAAATATAAGACAAAACACACATCACGACAAGACACCACAACACTACAAAAAGAGAGACCTAAGACAACACACCATGGAAGCAACACCACAACAACATGGTGGCAGCACAAAACATGGTACAAACATTATTGGGCAGACAACAGCACAAAGGCAAGAAGGTAGACAACACATCATGCGAAGCAGCCACAACTGTCAGTAAGACTGTCCATGATTGAATCTTTGAATGAAGAGATGGAGATAACTGTCCAGTTTTAGTGTTTTTTGCAGCTCGTTCCAGTCGCTAGCTGCAGCGAACTGAAAAGAGGAGTGACCCAGGGATGTGTGCCTTGGGGACCTTTAACAGAATGTGACTGGCAGAACGGGTGTTGTATGTGGAGGATGAGGGCTGCAGTAGGTATCTCAGATAGGGGGGAGTGAGGCCTAAGAGGGTTTTATAAATAAGCATCAACCAGAGGGTCTTGCGACGGGTATACAGAGGAGCATAGAGTGCAGTGATGTGTCCTATATGGAGCATTGGTGGCAAATCTGATGGCCGAACAATAAAGACTCCTCTCCTGCTGTGCAAAAATATGTTTGGCCTAGTTTTCAGGCCTAGTTTACAGGCCTTTTGGCCGGGTTTTGAGTGTCATTGGGATATACATTTTAGCTTACACCTGGCAACCCTGCCCATGAGTTTGTGCTACTACATAAAAACTTGCGCATATTTGTACAATAACTCAATTCGCCCTTGCACTTCTTCTAAACAACGCAATTTTATACAACTTTGGGAAAAGGTTAAGTCTACAAAACTTAGTCAACTCTGTTCGTAACAGATGATAGTTCTGGAAACAGAAAACTGTATTGAGCTCAAACGTTTCATTGATAAGAATATTAGTAGAACGTTGGCCGAAATCCATCTCCCACTGCCGGACACTGTGCTTTCTTTCACCACCATATTTGGTAGTGAGTGGAAACGCAAACCGGATGCTTCACATTTCAAAATCCGGTGAAAGAACAATGCGACCGATATCTGTGAGGCTATGGTCTTTCAAACGTGAGATTAGCAACACTTTCAACATCACGGCACAACAGCCATCTGCACCTGCCGCAGTTCGTCCAGAAGAGAAGCTTGGAGAAATTGCCAGACTTTCCAGTGTGAACAGACAATCATTTTATATTGCTAGGTTCAGTATCTGGGGATGCCCCTATGATGTTGTCGGCACAATGAAAAGGAAGGGTGGACAAAATTCCAATTTTGATATCAAAAAACCTTAGAACCAAGGCAAAAAGTGAAGCATTATACACCGAACAAAAATATGAATGCAACAATTTCAAAGGTTTTACTGAGTTAAAGTTCATTTAAGGAAATCAGTCAATTGAAATACATTTGTGCATCAATTGAGAGAAATATGCTTTTTGTGCGTATGGAATATTTCTGGGATATTTTATTTCAGCAAATTAAACATGGGACCAACACTACGTTTTGTGTTAATATTTTTGTTCAGTATAAGTAAAATTAAAAATTAAAAAATTGTCACAAAAAATGCAGGGACGAGCATAACTAAAAGTACACATTTGCACTGTTACAACTCCCCAACAAACCAAGAAATATGTAAATATCAGGGTCAAAATGGATGGATCTGTTGACGATTATGCGTTTCTGTCAATTCTGACGTCGATCTCTCTTCCATTCAGCCTGTAGCCATTCATGATGCGACAGGCTTTCTCTGCAGTCTCCGGGTTGTCGAAGCGAACCACGCCACAGCCCTTGGACTTGCCATTCTCCGTCTTGATGTCAGCATACTGGACGAGACCTGCAAAAGAAAGCACATTGGTGGGGTTAGAAATATTTTGATTAAAGTTCCAATTGAATCTTGGGTCAAAAAGACTTCACCATGGTGTCATTGCCAAATGGGAAAATGTTGTGGTCTAACTTCAAAACAATCCAATTAGCATGCTTCTCAATTCTGTTGAATTACATTTCACATAATAGTCTCTTGCATTGTTGTAGTATTCGAGTCTAAGATTAATTTCATGACTCCAAGTCAACCAGTAGTGACTGTCAAATCTCTTGGTTGCATATTTAACATACTAGCTACAACAGCAAATGTTAAGAGAGCTGTATTATCGTGTTATCCTTACAATGTGCAACAATGTAACATAACTCAGATTTTTAAAATGGTTGGACCACAGCTTTTAGGGAATTGAGACGCGAATCGTGACTTCAGTATAAAGAACTCGGACACTAGGGACTCTACCTCGAGGTTTAGTGACTTGACTACATCACTGGTCTCTTGGGCGCAAGAAAGTCCCTAATATATAAATAACAGTACCAGTCAAAAGTTTGGACACACCTACTCATTCAAGGGTTTTTCTTTATTTTTACTATTTTCTACATTGTAGAATAATAGTGAAGACATCAAAACTATGAAATAACATATGGAATCATGTAGTAACCAAAAAAGGGTTAAACAAATCAAAACATTTTATATTTGAGATTCTCTCAACCAGCTTCACCTGGAATGCTTGTCTAACAGTCTTGAAGGAGTTCCTACATATGCTGAGCACTTGTTGGCTGCTTTTCCTTCACTCTGCCGTTCGACTCATCCCAAACCATCCCAATTGGGTTGAGGTCGGGGGACTGTGGCCAGGTCATCTGATGCAGCACTCCTTCACTCTCCTTTTTGGTAAAATAGCCCTTACACAGCCTGGAGGTGTGTTGGGTCATTGTCCTGTTGAAAAACAAATGACAGTCCCACTAAGCCCAAACCAGATGGGATGGCGTATCGCTGCAGAATGCTGTCGTAGCCATGCTGGTTAAGTGTGCCTTGAATTCTAAACGAATCACAGACAGTGTCACCAGCAAAGCACCCCCACACCATAACACCTTCTCCTCCATGCTTTACAGTGGGAACTACACATGCTGAGATCATCCGTTCACCCACACCGCATCTCACGAAGACACGGCGGTTGGAACCAAAAATCTCAAATTTGGACTCCAGACCAAAGGACACATTTCCACCGGTCTAATGTCCATGACTCGTGTTTCTTGGCCCAAGCAGATCTCTTCTTATTATTGGTGTCCTTTAGTAGTGGTTCTTTGCAGCAATTCGACCATGAAGGCCTGATTCACACAGTCCCCTCTGAACAGTTGACGTTGAGATGTGTCTGTGACTTGAACTCTGAAGCATTTATTTGGGCTGCGATTTCTGAGGCTGGTAACTAATGAACTTATCCTCTGCAGCAGAGGTAACTCTGGGTCTTCCATTCCTGTGGCGGTCCTCATGAGAGGCAGTTTCATCATAGCGCTTGATGGTTTTTGCGACTGCACTTGAAGAAACTTGAAATGTTCCGTATTGACTGACCTTCATGTCTTAAAGTAATGACGGACTGTCGTTTCTCTTTGCATATTTGAGCTGTTCTTGCCATAATATGGACTTGGTCTTTTACCAAATAGGTATTTCTTCTGTATACCCCCCCTACCGTATACCCCCCCTACCGTATACCCCCCCTACCTTGTCACAACACAACTGATTGGCTCAAACGCATTAAGGAAAGAAATTCCACAAATTAACTTTTAAGAAGGCACACCTGTTAATTGAAATGTATTCCATGTGACTACCTCATGAAACTGGTTGAGAGAATGCCAAGAGTGTGCAAAGCTGTCATCAAGGAAAAGGGTGGCTATTTGAAGAATCTCAAATACAAAATATATTTTGATTTGTTTAACACTTTTTTGGTTACTACATGATTACAAATGTGTTATTTCATAGTTTATGTCTTCACTATTATTCTACAATGTAAAAAATAGTACAAATAAAGAAAAACCCTTGAATGAGTAGGTGTGTCCAAACTTTTGACTGGTAGTATCTCTATATATATATATATATATATATATCACATGAGGTTTGTGGCACCTTAATTTGAGAAGACGGGCTCATGATAATGGCTGGAGTGGAATGGTATCAAATACATGGTTTCCATGTTTGATGCCATTCCATTCGCTCCGGCAATAATTATTAGCCGTCCTCCCCATCAGCAGCCTCCACACATACACAGAGAGAGAGAGATGAGTAGATTATGTTCTTACCGCATGTATTGAAGGTATCCTTCAGCATCTTCCAGGTAAAGTCAAAGGGCAGCTACAAGAGAAGAGTCAAATTGAACAGTTGAAGTTTACAATGGTGCCTGTCGAATACTAGCTTCAAGATTAGTCTTAAAGGAACGTTCCGGCCATTGACCTCAAAATCGTTGTCCAGATCACGTTACGAACATGTAGGTCTGTGAAAACGGCTTCTAAATGCATTCTGTAGATCAATAGCTAGCTATGGTTATTTCCCATATTTTACCCTCAATTATGTATTTGGGGGTAATCACGTGTTTTATGAAAACTACAACAAGCTTAAGGGAGGAGTGAGGTTGATTTCCTGATCTCCACGTGTCCCACCCCGAACACAGGGAATTTGAAAAAGTGGCCGTTCCTAGTTAAACAGCCCTGAGACTGTAGTTCTGTGTCAGTCAGAGCTCTCATTACTACAGTTAGAGAACCTATAGCACAGATCGTGTGTAGAATGGGTGCTGCAAGCGATGACCCCCCACAGAGTTGGACGATTACAACTTTTGAGCCAGAATACAGCGAGGAGTAAATAAGACGAGGAGAGGAATATCTGGCTAATCATGCAGCGGCGTCTGCTGCCGAAGATGAATCCGCTGGTGAAGCCGGGGAGGCTAGCGTGAACACTGACTGGTAGTGTGTCCATGTGGAAAAAGCCCATTAATGGCTACAGAGACAGATTGTGTTTGTTGTAATGAGTGCGACAGGGCGCAGTTTTTGTTGTCTACCATTGCCACTTCCAGCCAAGAAGGTGACAGACTGATTAATCATCCGAGTTTCAACCCTGTGTTGGAGACATCCTTCAGTGTCCAGAAGATAAACAGCCTAAACCCGGGGGGCCAAGAGGACAGATGACAATGGAGTAAGTGTTTTGCGCCTGCTAGCTAATGTTTTTATATCGGCATAATTTCACAGTGCTGATGTGTGCATTGCAGTTGTGTATCGTTAGTTAATATATCGAGGTTAGACGCACCTCTCCGTACTTGCCTTCCAGACGCAAAGCACCATGGAAGCTGTAGTAATCTCATTCTAACATATTACTTCCTGGTTCGACAAAAGCCTATTTTACCGCTTATTTGCGCATTTATTTTTACATTTCCGGACAATTTAGATAACTAGGGCCACTAACAACTTGCTGTGGAGTCGTGGAGACAAGCTGTGGAACGTTCCTTTAAAATCAATATGCTGAATATGCTCCAACCACACCAATGGGGACACGTAAGATAATTATTTCTAAAGAGACACTTACATTTCTGACGAAGATCTGACCACCCTTCCTGGCGTTGGCTCCAGCCCCGGCTCCTCCAAAGCTGTTTCCTCCGAAGCCTCCACGCTCCATCTCAGCTTGCCGGTCAAACTGGCCTCCAACACCGGCAGCGCCCATGCGGACCATCGTGGAGCCCATGCGGTCAAGCCCAGTGGTGGAAAAGCGGTCGATGCCGACAGACCCCATGCGGTCAAAGTTGGTTCCCATCCTCTCCATGCCGGTGTTCATGCGGTCCGCCATGCCCATGGGGGAGGCGAAGTCCAGGCCGGCAGACATGCGGTCTAAACTGGACGGGCCTAGGCAGTCAAACCCAGCTGGGCCCAGGCGGTCCACGCTGGAGCTCATACGATCCATGCCAGAACCAAGCCTATCCATACTGGGCCCCAGCCGGTCCAGCCCAGAGCCCATCCTGTCAAAGCCAGACCCCCCCAGCCTGTCCAGATCAGACACGCGGTCCATCCTCTCCATTCCCATGCGCTCCATCCCGCCCAGACGGTCCATTCCACCACCCAGGCGATCCATGCCAGAGCTCATGCGGTCCATGCCCAGTGAGCTACCTGTAAGTCGAGGGAAAACACAACACGACTAGTGAGAGAGTTTAGGTCCTGTGAGAAATCAGCATCAGTCATGTTCAACGTGTTAGCAAGACATTTGGCAAATCCTTAAAGTACTAACCCATTCCTCTATCAAAGGACTCTCCAAAATTATTGCGAGACATGCCCATTTCATTTCGACCAAACTCCCGGTCAAAAGCACCACCAATCCCACGGTCCATCTCTGACAACACGAGATGAAACTATTAGAAGACCAGCCAAACGTGAATGTTTCACATCAGCGTGAATTTGTAATGTGTGAAATTAATTTCCTTACCATTCATCCTGCCCATTCCAGATGGTCCGAAGCACTCCATGTTGTTCATTCCTCCACCGAAGTCATCCGCACCTGGGGGGGAAATTATGATGAGGAAATTAAAATTTAAATGTATAAGAAAAAACACCATGCAAATATTTTTTGATTAACTCTACCCAATCAATGGATGCAGTACAAAAACGTACATACCTCCCATTCTACCCATGCCATCACCGAAGCCCATGCCATCCATGCCTACAAACCAAAACAAACATTAGTGAGTGACTGAACCAAGCCAAATTAAAGTTTGATGTGAAGGAGGATCACAAAGACAGCCCCTTACCTCCAGGTCCCATGCTGCCCATTCTTCCTCCAACTCCTCTGTTCAGTGCGGTGGCGTCGATGGGTTGGCCACCAGGCCCCAGTCCCAGCCCAATGCCACTCAGTCCACCTGAGGGAAAAGCAATGGATGATTGAAAGAAAGAAGAAATACTACCGGCCCTTCTATTGAAGAGCCTGTGGAAGCGAGGCTTGAACATACTCAATATTTTTGTGTTGGACAGAGATGGCAGTTTTCTTTCAGCTTTTCATTGGCTTCTGTTTACAGGGGGGGGGCTCTCGTGTACTTACGGGGTAGTGCTGGGGGTCTCTCAGGTGGTGCAAAGTCTCTTTTTGGCAAGGACTTCTCATCCTGAAATACCCAACAAGAGCACAGCTTAAAATACATTCAAAATGTTTACACAGATTGTAACATTTGTTCATTTTAGTGAGTGTACAATCTCTAGATTATATTGCTTACCAGCTTGACATGCATGACCCGGTTGTACAGCAGTTGACCGTTGAACATACTGATGGCTTGGACAGCTTCAATAGGCATGTCAAAGGTGACAGTGCCCATGCCCCTGCTATTCCCATCCTTGTCCTCCAGGATGTCAGTACGCACCACCACTCCTGCCATGCCAAACACCTCCTTCAGCTTCTGCCAGCCAACCTTGTAGTCCAGCTGGAAACACAAAACATGGCATTGACATGGTTAAAATTATTGCAATAACGTGTACTGCAATATATTATTTCAAATTATACAAAATAAAACTATGCATATTGGCATTCTGGACTACAATCTCCGACTTACGCTAGCTACGAAGACAGTGCTTCCGATCTTGCCGGCCTGCAGCCCGTGGATGATCTCATTGGGGATGTTAGAGTTGTTCATGAGACTGGGGGGGATGTTGACCATGGGTGGGGCTCCCGGTCCTGGGCCCATGTTCATCCTCTCCATATTCATGCGATCCATCCCCATGTTCATTCCACCATGGCCGCCGGGGGGGCCGCCACCACCTCCACCACCCTGGGCCCTGTGGGAATCCCTCTGGGCAATCACACCATCTGGGTCCTGGGGAAAGAGGAAGAGAGAGACATTGCCAACATTACTAAACAGGAAATACAAGCCTATTGTTAGATTTAAAAAATACTACTTACCTCTTTAACCATCAGGGGCCGACCATTCAGGTTGTACTTGTTGACCTTCTCCACAGCCTTCTTCATCAGCTCCTCAGTCCTGAACTCAACAACCCTGTTGAGACAAACATCATGATGAATATATGGAACTTAGAAGAACTTTGAGACATCTATTAGAATAAAGATTGAATGAAGAAAATACTTACGCGCAACCCTTTGTTGATTGAAGACCGCACAACAGCATCATTGAAGTAGAAAAACAATGTTCAAGTTAGTAATCAGTCTTCGCAATGTAGAGAACAATGCTATTCAGGGGGCAGAATAGCTCATGTTATGAAAGCCATCTAATGACCTTCTTCCATATTCAATAACAAGGTTAAACACACATTCTACTCACTTGTATGGCCTTAGCCTTGAACAGTCATTTACTCTTTAAAAATGATTAGACTGTTTAAAAGCTGGTCAACAAATGCAGAGGTCTGGTGAATCTAAACCCTTAAAACATTGTCCACATCAAAAGCAGAAGTCCCATTGACAAAATGGACTCCCTTGATGGAAATTGGAAATATATGTTCCACAAAAACAATTAAATAGACTCAAATCTATTACATGTAACAACAATGTAACAACCTGTTGGGGGCTGGGCCCCATTTTAGATTAAGTCCCAGATGAACAAATCCGCAGCAAACTGTACTTTCTCAGCTACTGAAACCTGAATTCCCAATAAGACACCAACCCAGGAGATGACTTCATTCATGGTGCATTTCCACTGAGGATTTACCCCGGGTATTTCACCAAAAAGCCTCAGACTTTTGTGTTTCCACCTCCACAGCCCGGCTCCTGGGACTCACTGGGCCATGGCCTCAGTGGACCTGCTCTGACTTGGGGCCAAGGCAAGGCTGCTGGAGCTTTTCATAATGGCTAAGTGTGAACATGGGTTTACACCTTCGACGGTTAACACCTTCTCACAAAGCAACTGTTTTGATTATGTAGAGGTTGTTGATTCTGCTCTTCACAATTCCTCACCGTCAGCCCTAGTCATGGAAACAATTTCCCTAGTATGACATCAGGGTGTATACACTAGTGTAACACTGATGTTACAGTCGAAAAGCAGCATCAGTGCCACAGACTGCACCATGTTTTCTGTTCAGTGTCACCCACTTGACACACTTTCATCAAAACTCCATGTTTGAAAATCCCCACAATGAAAGAAAAGGAAACTCAAGCTGACTATTGCACTTACCCTTGATTTGCCTTCTCCATCCATTAAGTGTTCCACGTACGTTACCTCACCCACTACAAATCAGATTCCAGACGACACACACCAAGGGAGAGAAGCCGAGAGAACAATGGGGGTTTAGAGCAGACACACAAGCGGCTGGTGACCGTGAGCTCGGGCCTGCTACTCCAGAGCCTCCCCCCAAGCACCTCAGTAGCCAATTCTGGTACAGGTCTACAAAAGGCAAGCTGTTATTGGATCTTAAAATGACTTCTGGTTCTGTCCTTGCCAAGGCCCTAAAAACACCAAGACCAATATATTGAAGAGAACAATTGTCAAACAGCTACCAGCCCTGTAATCGGATGAATTGCCATCATGAAGGAACCCTTTTCTAAGTAAAGATAAACTTACTTTACAGAATGAAAGTTTGCAAAGGCTTTTGAAACCACGAGTCTACCCTTCCAAAATCCACGTTCCTTGTTAAATGTATTTAGAACCACTGACTGATACAACTGTTCTGCCGCACCTTTGAATGAATACACACAAAAACTAAAATTGTACCAACTCCGCTAACTCCAATGTCTGAAGAACATTTTTGGAAAGATGTACATCCATTGGACACGGAGAGGCACAAGTGTCCACATTTTTAACTAACAGAGGGACCACCATAGCTAATTCCAGCAAATGAGTCGACACCATAAATGGACATGAACCAATCCTCAGCTGAAACAAGAACAGGCGTAAGAAGCTGCTTAATTTTGTAGACCTGTACCCCAAGAAATCCCAAAACACACATCCGTGATTGGTACAACATCTGCGGAAACAACAAACCTAAAAAAGAGAATGCAATTTAACACCACATTCAATCATATCCAAACACTAAATTATGTTTCTGAAAAGCATTGGTAACCTCTCAGAACACCTATGCTTTATCATTATTAATTTATTATATTAGTTCTAACATATCTATAGCTTTGCCAAAGCCATGTAAACAACTGTTGAAACTGTTAGATGAACAGTACACCGTTCCTTTTGTTGCAGGATTCAAATTTAAGACAAAAGAAGTTGACAACTGGCCCATGCTGCAAATTAACATTCAATTACAGAACACCAGTATTCAAACATGATAGAATTCTAAATTTGACAATCTCTAAGAAAATGATCACACAGAAAACATAAGCAAGACCTGCTTTAACAATCGTAGTGTAAGCACCTGAGAGCAATTCATTGTCTCAAGGCAATTAGGATGTTTTTCTGTGAGAAATGCAATTTGCTATATACCACGCAAAACCCAACACAACAGTGCAATTGATGGCCCATATACTATAAGCACTGTATTTCATTTGAAGAGCTCCCTTTATTTTGTAGATTCCCATTGTCTAATCAAGCGTAGCTGAAGAAATCCATCACTCCAAAGTACAAATGTATAATGCTATTCGTAGCACTATAAAAATTACCTAGCTGAAGGCAGAAATCACAGAGAACTGTTCTGAAATCTGAATCATCCCAGGGAGTAAGCAGAACAGGCCAATCCATGGAAAGGCCACTGCCATTTCAAGTTTTGCCGCCTAGTCCGCATACCAAGAACCTCATAGCTACGAATTGCGACTTGGGTCCTTTACAGGCCAGAAGCCTTCCAGTCAACGTGGTGAAGTGGTTCAACCCAAATGACCCGTTATGGGAGGCTTTATTAGCCTTGCTGGACTTAATATCTATAGCGGATCCAACACTACTCTTAACACCTTACCTTTTTCTTTCATTAGATCTTTGAGTGCCTGCCATTTCACATCGTATGGGATGTTGCTGACAAACACACGGTATCTCTTTGATGGGTTTCCATAGGGCTCAAAGCGACCACCTCCACGCTTCTGGGGCCTCTCCTTCCTGGTATTATTAGGTTCATGCTTGGCCTTGCCAATCATTTCCCTTTGGAAAGAAAGAACACATTACATTAGCTATCTATAGTTACCAAAACATATGACAATAGATTATATACTCATTAAGAGTAGCTGCAACAAATCAGACCGCTTTGCTAGCTACCTGGAATTTAGGCTTACAAGTGTTTTAACGATGCATCTTTCCTAGAATGGCCGAAGATGTAACATTTGTTTCCCAAAACACCACACAGAAATAACATTCACTAAGTGCATGTTGGAGCATGTTTCAATACTCAGCCTGGTCTCAGACTAGACGTAACATTGTAAATGTAAATCCGGGACACTCAAATTAGTATGATATGTTACATTTGGTATGGTTACACAAGACAGATGGTTACTGCATATAACGTGAATGTCTAGCAACCCAAAGGTTCCGAGTTCGAATCTCATCATGGACAACTTTAGCATTTTAGCAACTTTAGCTACTTACTACTTTTCAGCTACTTTGCAACTACTTAGCATGTTAGCTAACCCTTCCCCTAACCCTTTTACCTAACTCCTAAACGTAACCCCTAGCTAGAATTTGTAACAAGCATTTGGCCAATTTCGCTCTATTATTGATGCCGCTGGCAGCGCCCAGTCACAGGTTTCTTTCTCTCTCTCGGATCTGAACGAGTCTCTCGGATTCGAACAGCACAGATGTGTTTTTCCACAGGCCTTGTCGGAACGGGTCTGACTGTCCTCGGGTCCATTCGGAACGGGTCTCCGTTAAAAATAAAATAAATGTATGCATATATCGGGTAGGGTGGGAAAGCCACGGATCCATTTTGGAACGGGTCCAACTTTTTTGGACCAGTGAAGACCTTTACCCCAAACCCCGGCCTGCTTGGTCTGTTTCGCAAGTGTTTCCGGAAGTCTCACAATGTTGCGTCTCTGGGTTTAAAAACTTGCCTGGTGCCGAAAATGTATGACGCATGTTGCGCAGCGAGAGCTGAGTGGGGGACGAACAGATTCAGTTCAGTCAGTTGTCCTAATGAGCCTTCACCAGCTAGCTAGTTTATGCTTGTGGCTAGAAACTTCAGCGAGAATTGGAAACTTGTATGCCAAATTTGGGACTTTGGACAGTGTTCAGAATAACATCGGAATAATTGTGCTTTATCTGAATAATAATTTTCTGAATAATAGTTTTTTTGTTTGTTGACAATGCAGTTGAAAATCACTACAATAAATGTGCTTTAGATGTCAACCTGGCCTGATATTGGCTAAACTACACCTGAACAAAAATATAAATGTGGCGTTGTGTGACAAAACAGCACATTTTAGTGGCCTTTTATTGTCCCCAGCACAAGGTGCACCTGTGTAATGATCATGCTGTTTAATCAGCTTCTTGATATGCCACACCTGTCAGGTGGATGGATTATCTTGGCAAAAGAGAAATGCTCCTTAACAGGGATGTGAACAAAATGAGAGAAATATGCTTTTTGTGCATATGGAAAATTCCTGGGATCTTTTATTTCAGCTCATGAAACATGGGACCAACACTTGTTCAGTATATCTAGCTACTTCCCTCTCCTTACTGCAGGACAAAAATGCTCAGCAAGCAGAAGCGAAGGACACACTGTGCCCTGTGTTGTGTTGCCGGCTTGCAGCACAAACTCTCGCATTTACATTTAAGTAATTTAGCAGACGCGCTTATGCAGAGCGACTTACAGTAGTGAGTGCATACATTTTATTACCTTTTTTTGTTTTTTTGTACTGGTCCCCACATCCCTGGCGTTGCAAGTGCCATGCTCTACCAACTGAGCCACACATGACACAATACTCTCCCCATTGAGCATTAGACTGTATCACAGTGACATCCAGATAGTTACTATACTACCAATATTACAAGTTATTTCTAGTTAAGTGAGATTGGCCACATAGCTACCGCCAGCAACATGTGAAACACCTGCCAGGTGAAGCAACTTCTGCCCAGTGGGAAGCAACAGTGGGAACTGGGAAGCACCACAATACAACACTGTTGTACCACAGATAGAACAATCAGCCAGATGTTTCACCAGATGTATAAATCTGAAGCGTCCAGTTGGCATTTCCACTCACCACCAAATATTGTGATGAGAGGAAGCCAAGTGGCCGGTATTGGGAGAAGATGGAGCGAGTTGGATTTTGGCCTACATTCCGCTAATTTTCTCATCGATGATTTGATTTGATTTCAATAGAGTTCTGTTCCCAAAACTATAATCTGTTACGAACAGAGTGGAATAAATTGTGTAGACTTTACCCTTTGCCAAAGTTTCAAAAAATTGCGTTGTTTAGGAGTGCAAGGGTGAATTGGTTTATTGCCCACGCACACTTCAGAGTAGGCATTCCCTACCGGAAATATGTAAATACATGCTAGAACGCGCTAATAGGATCTCACAAGCTCGTGATTGTGGCTCTGCCCACCTCCTTGCTTGTTCTACCCACTATGATTAATTTGCTCCCATTGGAACCAACAGGCTGTGGTCCATCTTTGGTTGCACTGGTCATTCATACCGGATTGTCGTTACGTTAGCTAATTAGCATGTCATGGTGACATCGAGATGGTGACCAATACTACAAGTTATTTCTCCCTTGCCCATCGAAATTAAAACTTTATTTGACATGTTTTAACACCGTGCTATGGACGACTGACTGAACCGAATCTGTTTGGTTTGTTCCCACTCAACATACTAGTATTGCCAGCTTAATAACTTTGTCACTAGATTTAGTGAGATTTCAGACCCCTCCAGCGCCTTCTATTGGTAAAATTGTATAGCGACAAATGTAGCTACTTTTTAAGGCTGCCCCAGCGACTTTTGGTTGATTTAGCGACATCCCTGTTTGTGTGTGTGCCAGCTCAGCTGTGCAGTCTTCTCCCTCTCCACGGCTCCCCCTCCGCCGGCTGCTGCTGAGTGTGTGTACGTCACTTACGCCCGTTCCCCGCATCTCTCTGCTCCCCCCTTCCTCGCCTCGCTACATCCGCTCTAGCCTCTCGGTCCTCTCCCCGCGACTGATATTTATTAAATCAGTTCCTTGTTTTTAAATGACACCACAGCTCTCCAAGGCCTAAATAAAGTTACCTACATTACTGTTTTTTCTGAGGTTGTAAATCACAGCAGGTCTGGTACATTGTTTGCTGCCTCCATTCGGGATGCACGGTTTTAGTTTCAATGACTCAATATTTTGGACAAAAACTGACAAATGTAACTAAGGCTGGGAATGTCAATACAATCAGACTAGCAAGGGCAATGATCACAAGTCAGTCATAAAGTGGCTAATAGGCTAGCGTATCTATTTATGTAGCAAACTAAAAACATGGAGCCTTACGTTAGCTAGATAGCTAGCTAGCTGCTAGGAGGATGTCATTGGGAGTAGTGGGTGAGTGACTGACTTTTTCCCCTCATCGTTTTTTGGTGGATATACACAGCTAGAGATGCAGGTGTCATTTGGGTAGCTAGCAAGAACTTCAACGACTGTTTTCCAGTTAGCTAGCATATCTCTTGCATTCGCAAATTCCCCCTGCCTATCTAGCTAGCTACTTTGATTTCAGAGCACTCGTCTGAGTGTGCCAGAGCGCAGAATAACGGATTAATTTACGAACGCGCAACACCCGCTGAATGTGACCAGTGTCAGTAAATGTAGGCAAAAAAAGTAATAGTTAGTCACAAACTTTCTAGATAACCAACTCTGCTAGGGCGAGTAAAATAGTCAGAGTGAGGTGTTCTCTCATTTGTGTCTGGAAGTAGCTAGCTAGCAAGCCAGCCAACTTTAGCCAGCTAGCTTGGGTGCTTGGTTGGGACAAGGGCATGCAAGCTACAGAAGGACGAGTAGGTTACAATTCCCCATTGTTTATCAGTGCAATTTTGATGGTCAACTAGCTGAAAAAGTTTAAGAGTGTTTATCTAATGTTCCTTCGTTAGATTTTAGCACATCTTCCTCTGGCTAGCATTAGTTGTTGATCTTGTTGTTGATCTTGTTGTTGATGTGCATAACTGAGGGAGAGAGCCTTCCTTTTCATGGTTTGATCGATAGGACTGTAAAGTTCCAAAATGTAAGAGGTCTCCTGTGGTATTTTGTGGCTTTTGGCTAATGCGTTCTAATGATCTAAAGTTACACAGTCCAGATCAAAGTGAATGATGGCAGGCCTGTGGGGCAAATGGCTTGTTTGCATAAAGGCCTACTGTAGCTCTGATTGGCTGTGGCGCACGGGTCTGCATAGACTCCTGGACCAGAGAGATGTTTTTATGAGGATTTATTATGGTCCTCTGTAGCTCAGCTGGTAGAGCACGGCGCTTGTAACGCTAAGGTAGTGGGTTCGATCCCCGGGACCACCCATACACAAAAATGTATGCACGCATGACTGTAAGTCGCTTTGGATAAAAGCGTCTGCTAAATGGCATATTATTATTATTATTATTATTTACTGCAGTGTCTATTTATTGTCCAAACACACAGCTGCTTTCCAACTCTATATTACTATATACATTTTCACAAATGCCTTAGTATACGTAATTCCCAAACATTCTAAGAATTGATTACCATATCTAAGTGCTCGCTTGTCAGAAAATGTACAACAAAAAAATCTTCCTGGGGGTGTATATGAACACATTTTTATAATGTTTAATGTTGCTAAAATGCTGTCAGTTCCACTGTAACTAGCTACAGTAGCTAGCTACTGTACCTACTTAACGCGTTGGTAAAGTTAGTGATTTACTAGGTAGTCCCAGCTAGTCAGGTAGTTCGCTAGATAACCATTTAGTTGGTCATTTCTCAAAACAATACGGATTCAAATTAACAAAACCTTAGCGAGCAGGATAATGAAAATAAATGTTACCAGCTAGCCAGTTAGCCGGCCAGTTAACATAATAATAAATGAATGAAACGAAACGTTACCCCTGGCCTGGTTTCTCAGGAGTAGCTGCCTCGGTCGACATCTTTTTGCGCAGTTTATCCTGTTTTGTGGTTTAATGAATTTGCGGTCAAAAGAGTACCTTAAAAAAGCTACTAATATATTGCCCAAGCTT